GGCTTTGTGGGAAATTGTGTCTCACTAACTTGACTGAGTTTTTTGAAGAAGTGACAAAGAAGATTGTTGAAAGCAGAGCGGTGAATGTTGTCTATATGGACTTCAGTAAGGCATTTGACAAGGTTCTGCAAGGTACACTGATTAACAAGGTTTGATCACATGGAATCCAGGGAGATCTAGTCAATTAGATACAGAATTGGCTCAAAGATAGAAGACAGAGGGTGGTGGTGGAGGGTTACTTTTCAGACTGGAGGCCTGTGACCAGCGATGTGCCACAGGGATCGGTGCTGGGTCCACTGCTTTTAGTCTTTTATATAAATGATTTGGATGTGAACACAGGAGATATGGTTAGTAAGTTTGCAGGTGACACCAAATTGGAGCAAAGAAGGTTACCTCAGAGTACAACAGGATCTTGATCGGATGGGCCAATGGGCCAAGGAGTGGCAGATGGAGTTTAATTTAGATAAATGTGAGGTGCTGCATTTTGGAAAGACAAACCAGGGCAGGACTTATACACTTAATGGAAAGGGCCTGGGGAGTGTTGCTGAACAAAGAGACCTTGGAGTGCAGGTTCATAGTTCCTTGAAAGTGGAGTTGCTGGTAGAAGGAAAGTGAAGGTAGTGTTTGGTATGCTTATCTATAATGGTCAGTGCATTGAGTACAGGAGTGGGGAGGGTCATGTTGTGGCTGTACAGGACATTGGTTAGGCCACTTTTAGAATACTGTGGGCAATTCTGGTCTCCCTGCTATAGGAAGGATGTTGGGAAACTCGAAAGGGTTCAGAAAAGATTTACAAGAATGTTGCTGGTGTTGGAGGGTTTGAGCTACAGGGAGAGGCTGAATAGCCTGGGGCTATTTTCCCTGGAGCGTCGGAGGCTGAGGGGTGACCTTATAGAGGTTTATAAAATCATGAAGGGCATGGACAGGGTAAATAGTCAGGGTCTTTTTCCCAGGGCAGTGGAGGGGCATAGATTTTAGGTGACAAGGGAAAGATTTAAAAGGAATCTAAGGGGAAACTTTTCAAGCAGAAGGTGGTGTGTGTATGAAATGAGCTGCCAGAGGAAGTGGTGGAGTCTGGTACAATGAGAACATCTGAAAGGCATCTGGTTGGGTGTATAAACAGGAAGGGATATGGATATGGACCAAATGCTGGCAAATGAGGACTTGTTTAGTTTCAGAGACTTGGTTGGCACAGATGAGTTGGAATGCTGGATCTGTTTCCATTCTGTACATGTCTAAGACTCTATGATTCTACTCTACCCAGTTACTGTGTAACTGAAAAGGATATGATTCAGCCAGCTATTATTCCACTTCCTTCCAATCTACTGGAATGGGCTAAAGTCCTGCAGCCCTGTCCTCTAACATTCTACCATCTCAAAATATTCCAACCACATCATCATTAGTGTGGAATGTTGAAATAAATTCCGTACCAATTGATACAAGGAAATGCTGCATTTATTTAGCATCTTTTCAATCAAGGTTTGCAGGTGCAGTCAGTGTTCTGGTGTGGGAAAAACTGTAGCCAAATTGTGCACAGCAAGCAGCAATGTGAAAACGACCACACAACCTATTTGTGTTGATTGAGAGCTAAGCATTGGCCTGGACAATAGCACAATGGGATCTTTCATGGCCACATCGAGACAGCCTCTGTTTATGGCCTTATGTGTAGGAAGGCACATTTGATAGTGCAGCCTTGATTCCTGTGCTCAAAGTGTCGTGGTCACTGAGACTGACATTTTCCAGTTCTGCAACATCCCCCCCACACCTTCTGGCCTCAACTTATCTGCAACTAAAACCTTCACTTGTGCTTTCCTGACCTCCAGGCTCAGCCATTCCCTGCATGACCTCTCCCATTTTCAGATGAAGGAGCTTGGAGAGCTGCGGACCAGCGAACCCACAGAGAAGGGATTAAATATTTTTAACTGCATTCCCACTTCCAGTAGCTGCCCTTCCACCACCTCAATGTCCTCTCCCTCAAGTCATGGTCGGCTTTCAGCCCATAGCTACCTTTTCCAGAGGAAATGAGCTGCGGTTGGTGCACTGACAGATTCATTGTGTGGATAAGACATTGGCAAATGGAGCTCAATGCAGGGAAATACAAAGCCATCCAGTTTAGATCCAAGCTATTTCCTGCACAGTGAAAGCCCACATGTACATAAACCATAACATGCCAGTGAATAAATACAAAAAGCATTTGAAATGCCAGAGGAATGTTGGCCGTGACTTAAGAGTGCTGCAAGTCAGAGGAGGTCCAGCATTATTTGTAGAAGGTGTTTATAATGTTACTGTGTGCTCCAGGGTTTGGGTGTACCTATTTTTTACAGTGAAATTGACAGGACTTGGATTTTTTTTTTTTTACTATTCATTGTGGGATGTGGGCGTCGCTAGGTGCCCAGCATTTCTTGCCCATCCCTAGTTGCCCCCTTGAGAAGGTGGGGGTGAGCTGCCTTCTTGAACCACTGCATTCCTCCTGCTGTGGGTTGACGCACAATGCCATTAGGGAGACAATTCCAGGAGTTTGACCCAGCGTCAGTGAAGCAATGGTGATATATTTCCAAGTCAGGATGGTGAGTGGCTGGGAGGGAAACTTGAAAGTGGTGGTGTTCCCATGTATCTGCTGCCCTTGTCCTTCTAGATGGAAGTGGTTGTGGGTTTGGAAGGTGCTGTCTGAGGATCTTTGATTAATTTTTGCAGTGCATCTTGTAGATAGTACACAGCGCTGTTACTGAGCGTCGGTGGTGAAGGGAGTGGATGTTTGTGGATGTGGCGCCAATCAAGCGGGCTGCTTTGTCCTGGATGGTGTCAAGCTTCTTGAGTGTTGTTGGAGCTGCACTCATCCAGGCAAGTGGGGAGTATTCCATCACACTCCTGACTTGTGCCTTGTAGATGGTGGACAGGCTTTGGGGAGTCAGGAGGTGAGTTACTCACTGCAGTATTCCCAGCTTCTGGCCTGCTCTTGTAGCCACTCTGTTTATGTTGTGAGTCCAGTTGAGTTTCTGGTCAATGGTAACCCCCAGGATGTTGATAGTGGGGGATTCAGTGATGGTAACACCACTGAATGTCAAGGGACGGTGGTTAGATTGTCTCTTATTGGTGATGGTCACAGCCTGGCATTTGTGTGGCGCGAATGTCACTTGCCACTTGTCAGCCCAAACCTGGATATTGCCCAGATCTTGTTGCATGTGAACACGGACTGCTTCAGTATCTGAGGAGTCAGGAATGGTGCTGAACATTGTGTAATCATCGGTGAACATCCCCACTTCTGACCTTATGATGGAGGGAAGGTCATTGATGAAGCAGCTGAAGATGGTTGGGCCCAGGACACTACCCTGAGGAACTCCTGCAGAGATGTCCTGGAGCTGGGATAATTGACCTCCAACAAACATGACCATCTTCCTATGGGTCAGGTAATGGCTCCAACCACCGCAGCGTTTGCCCCCTGATACCCATTGATTCCAGTTTTGCTGGGGCTCTGTGATGCCACACTCGGTCGAATGCAACCTTGATATCAAGGGTTGTCACTCTCACCTCTCCTCTGGAATTCAGCTCTTTTGTCCATGTTTGAACCAAGGCTGTAATGAGGTCAGGAGCTGAGTGGCCCTGGCGGAACCCAAACTGGGCGTCACTGAGCAGGTTATTGCTGAGCAGGTGCTGCTTGATAGCAATGTTAGTGACACCTTCCATCACTTTACTAATGATCGAGAGGAGACTGATGGGGCGGGAATTGGCCGGGTTGGATTTGTCCTGCTTTTTATGTATAGGACATACGTGGGCAATTTTCCACATTGTCAGGTAGATACCAGTGTTGTAACTGTAGTGGAACAGCTTGGCCAGGGGAATGGCAAGTTCTGGAGCACAAGTCTTCAGTGCTATTGCCGGAATGTCGTCAGGGCCTGTAGCCTTTGCAGTATCCAGTGTCTCCAACCGTTTCTTAATATCACGTGGAGTGAATCGAATTGGCTGAAGACTGGTATCTGTGATGCTGGGGACCACTGGAAAAGGCCGAGAAGGGTCATCCACTTGGCACTTCTCGCTGAAGATTACTGTGAATACTTCAGCCTTATCTTTTGCACTGATGTGCTGGGCTCTTCCATCATTGAGGATGGGGATATTTGTGGAGCCTCCTCCTCCAGTGAGTTGTTTAATTGTCCCCCACCATTCACAACTGGATGTGGCAGGACTGCAGAGCTTAGTCCTGATCCATTGGTTGTGGGATCGCTTAGCTCTGTCTATCACTTGCTGATTTCGCTGTTTGGCGTGCAAGTAATCCTGTTTGGTGGCTTCACTAGTCTGATACCAGGATATATCATGATGTCCTAGGAATACAGACCGGTGAAATGGGCAGGATCCAGATATCCTCGGAATACAGACCGGTGAAATGGGCAAGACCGGGATATACAGGAATACAGACCGGTGAAATGGACAGGACCTGGATACAAAGGAATACAGACCGGTGAAATGGGCAGGACCGGGATATACAGGAATACAGACCGGTGAAATGGACAGGACCTGGATATACAGGAATACAGACCGGTGAAATGGACAGGACCTGGATATACAGGAATACAGACCGGGGAAATGGACAGGACCGGGATATACAGGAATACAGACCGGTGAAACGGGCAGGACCGGGATATACAGGAATACAGACCGGTGAAATGGACAGGACCGGGATATACAGGAATACAGACCGGGGAAATGGACAGGACCGGGATATACAGGAATACAGACCGGTGAAACGGACATACAAAGAAAGCCAACAGGGACAAGTGAAGTGCTGCATCTTTGTCTCAAAGAACAAACAATTTAGCTTTTTGTAAAAAGTGAGATACTTGCTGAATGAAATGGACCTGTGGATGTATATCACAGGGATTGGAAGGGGGCTGAACAAGTCAGGATGTTTGCTAAGGTGGCATTTGGGATCTTGCTGTGACAAAGACCAGAATCGTTAACTCTCTATCCGTCCACAGATGTAATAAATGTTTCTAACCGTTTATCTTTTATTTCCACTGACCACATTCTGCCCTTTTTGCTTTTTGTTTGAGATCCTCGGCTTTACAAATAAAATCATGGATTACAAAAGCAAGAGGTTATTCTAGATCTTCATAAAATATTCAACCTTGG